CAACCAGGGAGGTGTCGAGAAAAATAATAAGTGTATGAGAAGAAATTTAAAAGGTTGGAGGGGATTTTTGGAATTTTACAGATTGGTAAAACTATTTGAACAGGTTTCTCTCTACCTTTGCATCACTTTATGAAATATTCCCGTCACCCAACTAAAACAATTCTTTTAAATCAACGGAAGGAACCTGAATAAAATCTAACATGAATAGAAGAAAAAAAGGTGGACGAACTTTGAGAGGTACTAGATCGGGGATCACGTCCATCCGGAAATTAAAAATTCACCCTAATTCTCTCTCTCTCTGGTGGAAGAATAAATTGCTCAGCCATGTTTTGAGAAGCCTGCCAATCGTCCACCCGTCTAAAGGTTGCGGTGCTGATCAGACCATGATCTACAGCAGATTTATCAGGCAGTTAGCCTCCGCGTGGGCTTCGTTTTGTGCAGCTCTCCTTCCGGGTTTGGGCCAGGTAGAGATAAGAAGTATCACTGGTTAGAGACCTTGAGAGATAAGATCCGGAACAGATATCGACAGCGTAAATGTTTTACTGACTGTATATCAAAATCCAGTGCCCAGTATAAAATATATATATATATATACATAAATGCACAGTGAAAAACACCGTTTTGTCCCTTCTGTCCTTATACTTGCTCTGTTCATAATCGCTTTCACTTGTTCCACTACCTAACTGTCTATTTTGTCGGCCGAAATTTCGTCGTGTTTATGCGCAGAACAGTGGGAAATACGTAATTTAGTACAGCCTCGAATATAGACCGGAAGAACTTTGAATAAAGAAAGAAAAAAACTACAGTTGCCCGCTGCAAAACATGCATAATCTACAGTGGTAGTAAGTAAGCAGAATATGCATTAGATATTTAAATTAAACAATTTTTTAAATTAAACTAGCTCAAACAATCAGTTCGAGTAAATATTGTTTATGTCGAGCTGCCAATGACGTACCTTTGGACTATAACGCGATTGAATTCAGTTTACAGCTTTTCACAGCTTTATGACTGAGTTGAATGTCTTTCCGGTCAAGGCATTTCCAGCTGATTTGAGACAATCTAAAACGTCTGTCCTCAAACTGCACATTGCAAACAGTCTTTTCGGAGAAACTTATCTACAATATTACGGTTTAAAATGACAAAAAATCCCATTGTATTTGTGTTTAAGATAAATAAGACCAAAGGTAACACAGGTAGAGAACAAACAGGCATCAGTGGAACTGCCCCTCACGACAATGTCTATCCTACCGTAAGCTAAATGTTGATCAGCCCAGTCCCCATGGAACACACAAGAAAATGGTAGCAAAAGCACTATTCTCCTTGTTCATTAAATTTGGTGGTGGTTCCGTTGGAATTTTCCGCAACGGAAACTCAGACCATGTGGATGAATTCATGCATACGAGTTTCATATGAGGCGGTACTCAGACGCAACTTTTGTCCGGCATGATGGATTACTTTTTAAACGCTAGTTCGCATTATACCTCCCCTACTCTTCGGAAACGGGAGGTTTTATAACACGTATGTCTCAACTTTACCGGAATCACAAAAGCCAGACTCATATAATTTTCGATTGTACTTTTCGGAAACGTTAACGGATGAACACTCACAAACTGAACGCGTGGTCACTTCTACATTGATCCTTGTGGAACATTTTAGGTTAACCCTACAAAGCATCTACAATCGCGTCTTGTATTTGCCGTTTTCAGTGTTCTTAATCATTAATTGAAAAATATTAGATCTTAGATGCAATGATTTAAAATTATGAGGGGTAAGATCGGTAGTATTAAAAGAACTCTCATTTCTTGTGAACCTCATACAAAATAATCATTACACAGAACCAGATGACTTCGGACAACGCTGTTACAATGCATACATTTTCGTGATTGTAAATGTGTATTCAGATGATATCTAATTATAACTTTACTTTTGGCGTGACAGATTCCGAAATAAAAAAATAATAAAAGTAAACTGTATCTTACGAGTTCGTGAGTTTGAAAATATCAACGATCAAATACCGCTTGACTCAATTCAGCGAAACCCATAGACCCATTCCTTATTCCGATTGTGGTAGATTTAATAAATGTAACTGAATCAAAGTGTATTGAATTGAATTCATCAGAAAAGTATTTTCCTCTTTTTCTGTTGCTGTCGTTTTCTGATGTCTGCCGACATATTAGCTGAAATAACTACCAAAAAAATGGGAAGAGTTATTTATTTTTTCTTTGCTTGGAATGGCATAAAGTATATTGCCAATATTTTTACAAGTAATAATTACTTGTTTCACTTCCAAGTTTCTTCAGAAACTTGGACTTTATTTTTTGAGTAAAAAGAACATTCTAACGGATGAATTCATGATGTTCCTGTTGTTTTAATTTGTACAACACAGAGGTAAATTTGATTGAGTAAATAGGTACCAATATCAATGCCCACTAGTAACTAATAACAATTAGACTGTTAGAAAAAAACAATTAACACACAAAATGAGCAGAATTGATATTGGTCGATCAAATTCGAGGGTGCCCTTAATCAGCTGTCTGCGAAACATTAAATACGTCGAATTTCATCATCAGAATGCCATAAATGGACATTTACATAATTTCATGGGTTCAGGTAGAAGGCACTGGGTTGTTGAGTCATTTGAGTGAGTACCAAAGTCATTTGGGTACGAGTGAAGAAGTCGGAGGGGAATATTAGCATAGAAACAGTTACGAAATGAAAAACGATTAGCCGTGGAGGAAAGAGAGTTTAACTTTGAGCATAACGCGGAGAGCTTTGCGTTTGTCGATGCAGGGTCCGGTGTCCATCAAATGTCTTGCCACTGCGCTTGCTGTAAGTTTTCCTCCTCAAAGTGACAAGTTATTCGGAACATGATCACTCATTCTGGTCGACAACCGGCGTTCAATCCTTCCGATTTACCGCTAACCGCAACTACATTGAAAAAGATCAATTCAATTGGAGTTGACCAAATTACTGGATCTGTCTATGCTTGACCGAGTTAATGAGTTCATTGTCCTGTGAATCATGATCAGCTTCGCGGCAGGATAGATAGACTCAACCGTAGTACAAAGCTGACGTGCAATTACATCATCTCCTTTAGACGGTACGCCAATGAAAACGACCATTGTGTACTTTGGCCTGCGGATAGTAGCTATACACTTCATCCTTCCCATTTCCATATTACGTAACTCTTTCGACCAACTTGCTATTCCCTTACCTTTGTGCATCAATTTTTATTCATTTTGATTTTATCTACTTGTTATCTATTTGTTTTCAACTGTCCTTCTTTTGCGGTTTATCCAGTTCTATTACTATTTCTATTTCTATGCTCACATCATCCGTTTCTGTTTCCGAGTCTTTGTAGGAATCATCCTCCTCCTCCTCGCCTCCTCGTGCAGCTATCTCCAAATGACTCTGATAATGACGCTGGTGGCCAAGTGTTTAGGTCTGACCTGGAAGTCTCGGGTTCCCTATATTCCCCCACCCCCCGTCTTCCCTATTTCTGTGTTTCCCCAGGCGGCCCGATATGCGACCTGTAACTTGAGAGTAGATTTTTGTATATTCAATAAATTAAACGAAGGAAGTAAAAAGAAATCTCATATTGAAAACAACTGACTTCTTTTCACTTGAACCCACGTATGTGATTGATTATTGATTTGAGCAGACTACCCTTCGGATTTCACCTTCACGCACACACACACAATCCTCAGTTCATTGATTCAACCATACACTCAGAAGCATTAGACTCGAGTTTCGCTCTTTTTGGAGCTCATCTGTAGTGCATATCAATCCAGCCTTGTAGGTTCGTTGGCAAATTAGCCCGTAATTTACATGGAAGTCTTGAATTGGTGGGAGGCTTTCGATCGGAGTTAACAGATTGCCATCTGTGTCTTCCTTCATTGCCATCGGGCCAAATGAACTGACTGATTATCACTGAAAACGACACCTGAACACACATGCATTGGCAATGCGGTTCAGCCCTGGTGGTATGGGCTGGTTGGCACACTAATGAAAACTGGTTTCTTTTCGACCATAGTGTGCATTGGCTTGGGAATGGTAATTATGTAAACGTCCATGGTATGATATTCTTACGATAAAATTCGACCTATTTAATGTGCGTAGACAGCTGGTTGAGAGCACGCGAAATCGATGGCCAATATTAATTCTGCTCATATTGTCTTACTTGTATTTCGTTCAAATAGATCAAAGGGAACACTGTTTCCGATAGGGAAAAGTTACACTGTTAGTCTGTAAACAATTTTCGAGTCAACTTGATGCGGTTTCTCATGAAACGAATCTAATCAGAAGAGGTTGCAAATGTCGCTTTCTCCTGAGCTACATATTTCAAAGTATATTGCCAACTGAATATTATGCAGTAGGTGACTATCTCAGAGCACCTGAAGATGTGAAGTAAGTTTCCACAACTGTCCTGACACTTTGACTGTCAACATATTCTTTGCAACTTTCGTGTTTACAAGAAAGAGTGGCTAATTTACACTGCTCTCCGGCCATTCACGAAGTGCACGGAATTGTATAGGACATTTTTCACCAATGGTAATCTCTAGCACGTTAATTTTGTAAATTTTTCCCTATTTAAGCGAATGATTTTCAATCTTGCACCGTCAAGTGTTTGGTTTATACAAATAAGTGTTTACGGTGATCTACTTCATTATTATACAAATGGTTTGTTTCCAGATTACCACACTATTGGTGAGTGTTCCTGGTAGCGCCTGTTGAACACAGGATTGAGCACGTTTCATTAACCAGCTTTTTATGCATAAATCAAATTGTTGCCTTGCTATAATCCAGTACAACCGTACATTGTCTCATCTGAAATCAGCCGATTGAATTCACGGGCATCGTGTTACGGAAAGCTCTAACGTGTCCACAGCATACATGGTATTCGTATCCTATTCTGTAGAGCGTTTTCCCTGCAAACCGGAGAAATCTAATAAGCTTTTCTTTTTCTGTCTGTTGTTTTTTATCAGCATGTCCTAAATCCAATGGATCCACTCCAACTACCACGACCACCACTGAGTTGCGGCATGCTTGTACCCGATCCCTTTATTCCAAAAGTGTACGACGGGTCCGTGGAAGACCCTCACATCTCGTACCATGAACGGCTTTATTCCAAACCGTTTTGGTCTCATCCGAATCACAACCTGGATGCTTTCGCCCAGAGCGGGAAGTTTGAAGTCAATGGTATGCACCCATGCTCTACCGGAGACAGTGTGTTCTATGGGTCATCATACGAGGCTGGACAGAAATCTCCAACAATCCAGGGACATACGTATCAACATCATTCTCATCACCAGCAACATCAGTCACCGCCTCATCATCAACATCTTCATAACCATCAGCAACAATTACAACAACAACAACAACAGGAACAACATCACCACCAAGCGAAAACTCAGCATTCCACGACCTTACGGAATCCATCTCCAACTTCTTCCTCCCTAGATTCCAGTGTTCTATCGAGAACCGTTCAACATATGGATGGATGTCTTTTATCTGATTCCTATTCCCCTACGTATGCAAGTGGAACAGAATTAAACTCTGCTTATAACAGTACAGATTCCACTAAAACGACCAATGCAATTTGGTCTTCAACACTGTCGCAGGTTGCTGCGGTTGCTGCAGCTGCAATGGTGTGCGCCTCGGTAGGTGAAGAGCGCGAGTCAACCGGCCCAGGTGATTCAATTTACCACGGTAGAGATCCATGTTCTTCTCTTGGTTTTACCGATCGCATACCATTCACAACTGATTATCCCGGTCACGAGGTTCTCGGGCAATTTTGGAAAGAAAATCCAATACGATCCGTTAGTCCTGCGGTGGAGGAAACTGCTCACACGACAATCCATTACAAGTCCAATGCTCCGCTGGATGCCAATAACAACCACTCGATTGCTGATGTTCGATCAACAGCAAGCTCAGGTAGTCGTTTGCAACACGATCGCCATAAACCGAGAGGAATGGTGTTACCCCGATTCCCTGGCAAAGAATGCTCCATGAACGTGGCGCTTAATACGAATCCAATGAAAATCCTTTCCGACACCAATATCAGTAGTTGCTCCAAATCGTATGCATCTGAAAATCTCCGAACATCTACAGAGTTTCATCTGACAGATGAAACTAACTGTAATCGTTTGTTCGAGGCAACACCTATAGACACGATACAAACATCATCCGTTGACGAGGTGTCCATTGCTTCAGGTACAAAAAAACTCAGTCCAGAATCCGGTTTGTTACTCCCCACAAATCAGCCCCCCGTCGAACATGTGCATCCCGGTGGTTATTTACGTCGATCAAGCGATAGCAGTTCACCATTACTCAAAATCGAAGCGGATTTTCACCCAAACGCATCAAACTTGCGGATAGAGCGAATCTATCCCGGTACTACCACGACACCCTATGACGATGAGATCAGACTGACGGCGATAGAACGTGCTTCCGTTTTGCATCAGTACACCTCACCTGAGAATAAACGATCATTGGATTCTTCTTCCGCCTACTACCTAGACCCTTATTCTGGACGGTTTGATCCCCAGTCAGCATCACATGCCGTATCCAACGCAACCGCTACCACCACTACTGTTGCACAAACAGTAGATTTTAATTCGGCTACCGAGTGGCTGTTACAAAACGCCAGGTGTTCCAACCTGATACAAACATCAGATGACTATGAACGTATGAACGAATCAATAAAAGATCCATCAGAAATGGAATCCACTGCTATGCTAACAGACGTTAAGCACGGCCCTCCTAATTCGAGTTGCTCACCGATTCCGCATGTCCATCATCCATCGAGAGGTACTACTTACGACTCCGGGATCTATCTCAGCTCAACACCTGCAAATCAGCAGCGTTCGGTACCCAGAGAAACTGTTACCGCTTGTGGTCAAGATATTTCACCAAACACGTCCTCAACCTACGACGGAACGTTTGATTGTTTCAATTTCACTCAGCTCAGCTATCTGTCCGCGTCAATTCTTCCCCCGAATGAAAGAAGCACTCGTTCGGAACTGCCGTATTTGGCAGCGAGGCAAGCTCTTTTTGCGAGTTATTTAAATCGCAACAGAAACAATGGAATGTCAGATCTCGCCCAGATATCGAATCACGCACCCTCAGAATCTCCCTATGGCCAACTGGATGAACGTCACCCGATAAATCCAGGCGACCTGATGTCTGATAAGGACTACTCTCAGAGTCCAGATCTACTTGGTGATCAGGACATCCTAAGGAATGCCGTTTTGCGAGACATCTCCACCTCAAGTATGCATCACTGTGATTTGTCCGAAGTGCCCCATTTACGTTCTTATTTG